ATTGATTAAAGATAAATATGTCAAATCAAATGACGGGCGCCGCCTTGTCTCCGCCAGGGGTGCGAGTGCATGTATTGACTCCTGAATAGAATTTTAGGCAGTGGCTATCAATTTGTAGACTGCTACTTACATTTGACTACGACTACCTTTATATTTTTAACATAATCAATTGCTAAATCATGGTTCTTTGAAGCGTGTGTATAGTGGGGAATAATTTATAGGGAAAATTGCACCAGCGGTCTCTAATCTTTCACATTTTTGCAGATATTATATTAACCTTCAATTTGTACCAGCTACAGTCCCAGTTTTTTCAAAAATATGCACATAAGGTCCAAATGGATAGAAAGACCAATGAAGTCAAAATTTGATAAATTTTGACCAAAGTAAAAAGGGTAAAATCGTAACTTTTCATTTTCCTCACATTAAATAAGTTAAAAATTAAATTAGGAAAACCAAAAAAAAAAAAAAAACATCTCTTCTTCCACCCCTTTTACAGTCCCCATCACCCCACCCCCACACCAAACTTCATCTTCTTCACTAAATTCACTGGTCCTATTGTCGCCTCTACAACTTAAAGACACCAAGTTAAGATGCAAAAATGGAACATCACACCACCACCACCCGAACAACTCCTTGGAATCTCCGAAAAGCTACTTTACAACAAAGACCTCAGCGGCTCCAATTTGGTGGCTATGACAAAAATTAAAGCACTAATTATTCTCTTTGATTTTCTGCTTTTCCAGTCATCATAATCTAGGAGAAACATGGGGTTTTTGAAAAATGAAGATTGAAAAATGTGAAATCAAACGATTCAATATCCTTTAATCACAATCAAGCTTAACACTTGTGAAATCAAAAGGACCAGATGGTGTGCTGAAGAACGATTGTGACGACGGCGGTAGTAGCGTTATCGACAATTGAGATTTCATCAACATGATCAGCATCGATAAAGTTCTTGATAATCTAGCAAGTCTTAGGATGGAGGGCTTTAAGATGTTGAAATAGTTATTATCGGGTTGTTCGAGGAAGTGGAGCTGGTGGTTTTGTTGGGTGGCAATAGATGTTTGAGGTTTTGGGGATTGATGGTTTTCGATGCAGTACGGTGTAGTTGGGTGGGGTGGGGTGGGTTGGCGTGGGGCTGAAAAAGGAGATGAATAGCTTTCATTATTTATTTATTTTATAGGGTTAAATAGCAAATGTACCATTTTACCCCTTTTAGTTTGGCCAAAATTGATCAAATTTTGACTTCCTCGGTCAATTAACGGTCAAACAAACGATTTTTATCCATTTGGACCTCAGGTGCATATCTTTTAAAGGTTTGAGACTGTAGGTGGCACAAATTAAAAGTTTATGGTAAAAGTCTGCAAAAATATGAAAGGTTAGGGATTGCTGTTGCAATTTTTCCTAATTTATACTTCGTGATTCGACTATATTGTGTTAATTTATGAAATTTAATTATTACCACTCCATGGAGCTAGATATAGGAGTGATAATCGAGTCGAACGGCTCGTTACCTCAGCTCATAGAAAGGTGGCTCATTGGCGGCTCGGGCTCTGTATTTGGAAGAGCTCAAGCGAGCCTGCTTGCTAGGCAAGTTGAACACACTCGGCTCGCCCACGGGCGAATGGCACGTGGGTTAAGCCTACGAGCTGAGCCCGTAAAAAAAGGGAACGTCGAGCTTGAGCTTGACTTGGCCAATTATCACCCCTAGTTGGATGTAGATGGACTTCCGAGGTGAGGTCATCGTGGGATCGAAAAGGGGGGGCCCTCTCAGAAAAAACTTTAATCTATGGACAATTTAGAAATTTGTATTTTTATAAATCTTTAATAAAGCATTAGAGTTCTTGTATAATATGACTTTGTCTTAATTTCTCTCTATAAATAGGGATTTGTCGTTGTGCTTTATTATGGTCATCAAAAAGAAAGAAAAAGAAATTAGATACGATAGAAGTGTGATTTTCTCTTGTAAACATTTATTCATCATAGTGAATTACTACAATGATGAAAAGATGAAGTAGTCTTATATTAATGCGAATTTCTAAAAATCTTGTGCTTTTTTTTTTTTTTTTTGGCTTTCAAGTGATTGCTCTCGATAAAATAGAATTAAAATTCATAATTCTGAACATATTGTAGCTAGTACGCTTGGAGAGGTTGTTGACTTGTGGACAACTTATGTTACGTCATGGTCGAGATTGATGTCTGACAACTCAATCTAGCCTTTCTTGAAGAAAATTATTGCTTTAGCTCAATAATTGGCCATAACCACTTATCAATTCACTAATCGGATTGTGGTCTCATCTTGAGTTAATTAAGAAAATCATAGTGCATATTAGGTCATTAATTAGGTACCACTTGTCACATATCATTGTCTGCTTTAAAAATGAATATAAAACATTCTACTTAAATTGCACTACTCTTCTAAGTATTCACTTAAGTACGTGTAAACTCATTTATATTATATATTATAGTTGTTTTACCATAAAACGAAGAAAGGATAAAAAGTGGGCATTTTGGGTGGTCATTTCCTTTGATCCCAATCAAGTATGCCCTTAGGTCACCAATGCATGGGGCCGGCCCCTTGACATTAAACCTCTTTGGCATATCAAAAACTTCTTTATAGTAGTAGATAACTAATGCTTACTTCATAAAGTTCCAAGATTCATATCTATCTAAATTGGGTATCTCTTCGGATTTGACTAGTCTTATGAATGCGTTATAAATATATTGAGATCAACCGTTAAAGTGTCATTAAGTTATTGAACATCCTAAATGGAATGCATATCTTTACATCTAAGATGTCCAGTCACTTAGTTGATAATTAAGTTGTTCACTATCAACAGTCTAAATAGACTGAATTATTCAAATATTTTTGCTCGGGTGAAGATGGGGTGAGTGAGATCGATTCATACTTAGCCCCCTTTTGGCTCCCATTTTCTGGAAATGAAAATGGGTGAAATAATATTTTTTTGAAAAATGAGTAGTTGAAAAAGAAGGAAAAACTATCAATTTACGTGTAATATTATTTTATGAAAGATTGTGTGGCTGAAAATAGGAGAGATAAAAATGAAATGTAATGGAATGAAATTTAATGAGGACCAAACGGGAGCTTAGTGTTGCTAAGGATAAATATCCTACATCGAGATGACAAAGGAACAACGAGAGTTGCTATTATTTCTTAACAAGATTGACCAGTAGGATAAAACTTAATGCCCTATAAATATCACATTTTATTCGATTTTCATGTGCGATATGTTGCATGATTATTTAGGGATGGTTTGATAAAGTTTTATATAAAAATTTTAATAAATTTTGACAAAAGTTGATGAAATATATGATTAAAAATTTGACAAAAATTGTGAATCTCATTACATGTGTGATTTAATTAAAGTTTGATCAAGATAAAATTTAAACAAACCTCTATCGAAGTGCTCCACTTGATAAATATGTCTAAAATTTGGAGTAGAAATGGACAGGCAATTGCCTGTGGCTTCAAAGAAGGCGACAGTCATTTGAATAACTTATTACGTTATCGCTTTTGTAAGTAGCAATATTAACCGTACGATATAGGTCATATTATTTAATCATTAAAATCGTGAGCTCTACAAAATAAAAAATTAATATTTTGTCAGGCGCCGCATGTACTAATGGCGCATTTATTTGACAGTTTTATTTGAAAGTAAACATTTCGTTCCCCACGGCCGACGCTTTCACCTCCGGCCGCCGCCCATTTTCACTAATATATCTTGTTTCACACTCAATTTTACTTTTTAATTAGGAATATGGATCAATTTTCAAACTTGTTTAACTGAAGATGATGATCACCAACATTCCATTTGATAGCCATGTTTTATCTGTAAGATTTCGAGTTGATCAAACTTTATTTAATCACATTTTCTTAATTTTACGATTTTTATTTACCTTTTAACCACTTTTTATGATATTCAAAAGTCTATAATCTCAAAAAAATTTGTCAAACCGAGGTTAAACAACATAGTTTAAATAAAATGTATAATATTTATATGCGTCTGTGTTGTGCATTTTGTCAAGTATGTAGCACATTTGATCCATTGGTTCGAGGCCCATAGATCTTCGAACCCACGACCATTAATTTTGAACATAACCTGTAACATCATGTCGACTAAAAAAGCACAAGGAAAAGAGACGGTGGTTGGGTTGGTTGTGGGGCGAGGGGAGGAGGACATTAGTTAGTGTGCACTATGAATGTTCATAATACAACGGACCAAATGCATGCATGCTTAGATATAGCATGACATTTTGCATTAGTGCATAGTAAAGTGTTGAATCATGCTACATAGTCAGAATCAATGATAGATTTTATTTTATCTTTAGACAACATGTGACAGGTTTTCATTGGAGATTAAGAAAAAAGACATAAAAACACTCAATCACAGGTTGTCAAATCACCCATTTTTTCCCCTGTTTGTTCAGCATTTTTTTAAAGTGTTTTCCAACATATCCAACTTATAAGTTTAAAAAGCTAATCAAAACAAGTTCGTCATTTTTATTCATACAATTTGTGATACTTTGTATTTACATATTTCGTAGGATTCACAAGTAAAAACGATTTATCAAACATTCATTAATCACACTACAATATTTAAGGGGATAAATAAATAAATTATTAATTGTATGCACATAATAAATCTGATTATGATAAAACTCATCTCTGCATTGATGCTCATAGAGTCACGGACGTACATATGTCTATTAAGATACAACATTTCTTTCAAAATTAATACATCACAATATATAGTAATATAGGGGTTAATGAGCGGCCATGTGGATTATGTTCATTTAAGCTAGAGGATTGATGGGTAGCCAACTCATTTCCGATAAAATTATATGTTTGGCACGTATGATGGATAAAACTTATTTGATATAATTGAAAAAGAAACAAAATTCAAATTCGACTTTGTTATAATACAATACTGTCTAGTATTGTAAATCAAACATGCCACGGTATTATTGAGAGAAACAAATGGAAGTAAAAGTGTACAACAATGATATATATTGGTACAAAACACTTACAAAGACACATGTCAAACTCGTAATCCTCAATAAAATGGTGAAGAAGAAGAAGAAGAAGGAGGAGGAGGAGGAGGAGGAATTTATCATTTAATCATCTTCGAACAAGAACTGTAAATTCCCACAAGGAAAATAAAAAAGTGTCTTATAGTTACAGATCAAATGAAACCTACCTCTCTATTACATTGTTAAATCAAAATGGCTGCTGATACTTAATTAAATTCTTGGTATATGCTACCTATGTAGAATACAAAAGACAAATGCATGCTTAAATTTTCAAGGCTAGCAATGAAAATTAGCAAGCCAATAATAATAATAATAATAATAAAGAGAAAAAAATTACCCTTCCTACTTTACACTTTAATGATAAACTATACTGTTATTAATTAGCATAAACAATAATCTTCCTTGATTTCTGTTTTAGTGGTATGTTCCGTTAGAGGATTGGATAGCAACGGACCATATTCCCTGCTACACAGTTGAGACGTGTGCACCTATTGACTTATCTTCCTCAATTTCTTCACTGTCATCAACAATGGCTGATCCAGTCAGTTCTTTGGCCCTTTGAGATTCAAACTCCCAATCTGTAAAAAGCAAAACCACCATCATTGTCACCATACAAGATGCCTGTGCAGCCAAAAGTCCAAGCCACAGCCCTTCAAAATCAAAGTTCAGGAAGAACCCTAGACCTACCGCCACCGGCATTCCAACGAGGTAAAAGCATCCTAAATTAATGTTTGCTCCAACTTTAGGCCTAGCTGTTCCCCTCAACACCCCACAGCCTGTTGTTTGTGGGCAGTTTCCAAGTTCACAGAGTCCTATAATTGGTAAAACTAATGATGTTAATGCAATAATCTCCTTATCATGAGTGAAAAGTTTAGCCCAATTGTTCCTTACTGATACTGTGAAAAACAGTGCTGAAAGCCCTAGTATGAAGCTTCCGGAGAGGCCTACAATGGCTGCAAGTTTAGCGGTTTCTGGGCGGCCGGCGCCTAGTTCATTGCCTACTCTGGTTGACACACTGAAGCTAAGAGAAGATGGGAATATGTAGATTAATGCAGTGGTTTGTATCAAAATACCCATTGAAGCAACCGTTGCCTTGGGGTTCAACAATAATCCACAGAGCAAAATCATGATTTCATACCACCACCATTCGAGGCAGACTGAAATGCAGCTAGGAACGGCCAAATTCAGTAAGGATTTCCAGTCCTTCAAGCACTCCATGGATAGTCCTCCCCATGTTTTCTCATAAACTTTCGAGAAAAATATGTAGACAATTAATGATCCGACAAGATTGAAGTTAGTCCAAACACCACTTAGTGCAATACCTTTGATGCCTAAACCAAGCCTTGAAACAAGAAGATAATTTATGGGAACGTGCAGAAGAATTGAAAGGGCTGCACAAAATGTTAAAGGCAAAGTTATAGATTGTGTTCTAAGGTATATTCTTAAAGGGTGTAGTAAAGATTGAGCAAAAAGATCGGGAAGTGAATATAACAAGTATGCTTGAGCTTGTGCTGCAATGGATTCATCTTGGCCACATAATAGTAAAATATTTTTCATGTTGACCCACAAAACAGATATTGGAAATGAAGTGAAAATAAGCAGAAGGATTGTTTTTTGCAAGCTGAGACCAAGAATTTTGTACTTTTTGGCTCCAAAAGCTTGTCCACAAATGGGCTCCATTCCCATGGCTAAACCAGAGAGGATCGAGTAGCCAGTGATGTTAGCAAAACCTATGGCTAACGAACCTCCGGCCAAGGCTAGATCGCCAAGCCCGCCAAGAAACAACATGGAAATCATAGAACGAGAGTAAAGTATAAGGCCAGTTAGGATCATGGGGAAGGCTATTTTTGCTATGGATTTGTATTCTTGAATGACTAAAGAAAGATGTGTAGTTTTGTGGGGTTTCTCGGTTTGATGACTTGTTTGCGGTTGATGTTTAGATGTTGGAGTTTGAGGAATCAAAGAGGTTAACACGCTGTCTGAATTGGACTTGCAAGCCAGTGGCAAAGATGTTTGCTGACACATTTTTGTGCTCTGTGTGTGTGTGTGTGTGTGTGTGAGAGAGAGAGAGAGAGAGAGAGAGAGAGA